AATCCCCACGCTAATAAAAAAAAATCACAATCGGATTAGGAATTCGAATTTTTGTAAATCCTCCTCGAATAATTATCTTAAATAATTATCTTAAAAGTCGCGTCTTTTTAATTAAATTTAAATATCTCCCTCTCCGTTGTGGAATATGATGATCAAATTTTGTTTTCTGGTTATAAATTCATATAAATCTTCCTCCTTCTCTTTTTCTAGGGTTTTCTTCTTTTGTGTTCGTTCTCGTCTACAAGCTCCATCATCAAGCGTTTCAGAAGACGATGACGATGTTGTGTTACCCAATTCCCATACCTAAAACGAAAAAGGTGACCTTTTTATTTAAGTTTCGTCGATCTTTGTGTGATTCTCAAGAAAGTAGTCGAATTCTAGGGTTTACGTTTTCGTTGAATGTTCCATTGTTACTCTTAAGCTTTTGGTTAATGTCGGAGAGATTTGACAAAAGAGATTTTTGTGTTGTTTGAACAGATTGCTTTCGAGAAAGTGATCCAGTTTAAGGAAACAGACACGAATCTTGAGCTCAACAACTTAAGCTTGAAACGTAAACAAGTCGAGGATATCATGAACAGAAGCTTCCTTGGGACTGAAGCTATTGTAAGAGAGGTAAAAATCCTTCTGAAAAAAAATCATAAATCGTAGATTCTTATTGTTCTATCTAAGAAAATCCCAATTTATTAAACAACTTTTTCCTTTTTTTCAGGATCTTCTTAGAATCGAAGAGTACCTTACTTCACTTCAAAATTTGATAGATAACCTGAATAAGCCTTGTAATGAAGCCACGAAAAATAGTTTCTATAAGAGTCTCAAGATATTATGGAGCAGTCCTTTGACCTATTGTTGTAAGCCTTCAAATGGTCTAAGCTTCACTCGTATACTTCAGCGTAAATGCAAATGTAAATCTTCATCATTCTACCAAGTCAATGGAATATTGTTCGAGCTATATATGGTTCAATTTCTTTACGCTCTAAAGCTCAGGGAGAAAGCAATGGAGTTAATCCCCACAGGTTTGTCTTTTTTTTGCTTTACTAATTAATTAAACCAATTTTTGGCATTGCTTATTGATGTTTTTTCTGTAACGGGTTGGGTTTTTACTTACATTCTGATGATTAATAGCAGATATGGTGCAATCAACTACCGCTTATCGTGAAGCAGCTGGTGTTTTTGATTATCTGTCTCAGATAGTTCATCCTATTTACACACATTCGGGGCTTATCAAGACGCTTCCCGAATTAACATCTTCGGTTTGTTCCTCCATGAGTCTCCTCTGTTTAGCTGAAGGACAGGTCAGTGTTTTCTCATTTAGCTTCCACGACAATTCGAGTTCTTGTGACTTTACCATTAATCGTTCTATGGGAAATATCCAATAATGACACTTTTGGTTATAAGTATTATCGCGACTGTTACTTGAACAGAGCTAGCTAGCATTGTCCTTATGTTTATCCGTTCGTATATTAGGGCTATTTTGGTGTATATATATTCATCCTTTAAATCAATCTACTTACATTTTCAAACAGGCTGTGACGGTGAAGAAGGCTAAAGAAACGGGGACAAGTGCAAGTCTAATGACGAAACTCCATTACGGTGTGACACAATTTGTTACTGAAGCCAACATTCAAGATAAAGAGCTCTCGTTCCGCTTTTCGGTACATTCTTGAGTCTTTTCCTTTTAAAAAACGACACTTTTCCTCATGATCTCACCAAATTTTTAATAATAAGATTCGGGTATCTATCGAGTTTCTTATCCTAAAACTATTTGGTTTTGATCAAACTAGGATTATGTATCGACATTGGGTGCTTTACATGAGCTGAAGAGCGGAAAAAACTTAGCGGAAAGCTTGGAATCAGAAGGGAAAGTAGGGGAAGCCATAGGGGTCTTGCGCCGCGCATTGGCCACAACGAAGAAGACTACTCAATCCCGAGATAGCACGTGGAAGTCGATATTCAGTAAAGAGAAAGACCAAGTGACTACAATGATGAACAAGTACGAACGGTTAAACAAGTCCATGATGCTTCAACGTATTCCTTTAGAAGCTGAATTGCCTCTTCTTCAAGGTGAAAAGATTGTCAGGCTAATTACTTACCATCCCACCAAAAAGGAGAAAGAACTTAACTTTGAGTTGAAACCAAAAAAGTAAATAAATACTTAACTTTGGTTTTTGTAAACTCCAATTTTACCGTTTATACCGTTTCTTTTTGTGGCATTTTTTTCTTTCTTATCCAGTAAGATGAAATAAGAAACAATTTTTGCTATATGGTAAAAGTTGTCAATGGTATTTTGTTTCCTTGGTTCGCTATCAAGATTTAAGATCATGTACAAACGCATTGATTTGTTTTCTAAGAA